GCTGTGCCGACCGCACCTTTTTCCCCCCCCCGAGATTTTTTTTTTTTTTTTTTTTTTAAATAAACCCGAAGCTGTTTTTCGGTGTAAAAATGATTGATTGCGCCGCGGGTGCTGCTCGGTAACTAGCCGCCTTCTGCCGCTGCCCGGGCGGCCTCGAGCCGACTTTAGAAAGACAAAGAAATAGGAAAGAAAAGCAAAAGTAGCCGTATTAGTCTCACCCCAGGTCAGGGCTCCCTGCAAATTGCACGGCGGTATTTGGGAGGGAGTATTTTTCGGGTTTGACGGGAGAAGGATTAAGAGATGTCTTTTTGAAGTCCTTAGGAAAAAATAATATAAAATAATACAAAATAATATCTTTAAAAATCGGGGGGGGGGAGCCTTTGTTATCAAAGAGATAAATGAATATGTATTAGGGTGGACGGTCTGGCTGAGGGAGCGGGGCAGCGCCGGCACACCGGCTCCCCTACACAGAGAAGGCTCCCACAGGGACACTCCTGCCTTGGGTCGCACTCCCCAGTAACTCCTGCAAGTCAACGTTTCTTTTTTAAAAAAAAAAAAAAAAAAAAAGTACCGTGGATGACAGTTTCTGAAGGCTTTTGTAATAGATCTTACTTATAATTTTTAAACATCAGGGGATGAGTGAAGAGTATTAGAGTAACTAGTTCTCTTAAAAAATAAGTGCTGTAATTAAGCAGATTCATCTGAGGAAAAAAAAAATCTAAGTGAATTGGTCAGTATGGTTTCATCTGTTTGTAATGCCTGGGTGCTTTTGAATTTAATTTATTTGGCTCATGAAAAAAGGTGGTTTTAATCACTGACAGCACTGCAGATTTAAAATGAGGTCTGAGGAACAAACATGGACTTTCTTACTTAAGCATTCTCAGAAATGGTTTAAAACAATTTAGGTCTTGAAGGTCGTTCTTGTTCCTGTTTTCGTCCGTGCAGTTCAGATAGCTTCAGATTCAGCCTCCAGTGACTCTTGAGGAATGCCCACTAACTTTTCATTGGATAGATGTGAAGAGGGGAGAGAATATGTCTGTGTCCTTTGAAATTTAGTTGACAGTTCTGCTACTGGTGACAAGAGATCTTGCGTAAAATCTAATTTACTTTTTCAGAATTGCACTGGCTTTGCTATGTTCAGAAGAACAACAAAAAAAAAAGGAATACAGATCTATTTTTAGGAATACAGATCTATTTTTATTACTAAAATAATTCCATATATGTATATGCAGGCACAGAGCTTTTGCTCAAAAATATTATATCAAAATAGATATAATAGTGTTCAAATTAGGGCTATTCCTTTAAAGTTCACTAATTCGTCTTAGAGAAATAGAATGCATCTTCTCGAGATACAAAGCTGCTTTTTTATAGCTTTGCTGTAGAAACTATGTTATTTATTAATGGCATTTTTATGTGGATAGTACCTCAGGACTTCCTTTGCTTCTGCTGTTTATTCGTCACTTGAAGTCATAATAATTTGTTTCTAAAACCACAGCTGGCTGCTATAAAGGCAGAGGAAGGAAGACCATGATTTATGTGGTGAAAGAGAAACAAGAACAGAAGAATGTAATAAATATTTGTTACTTAAAACTTCAGATATTGTTATGAAAAAGGTAGCATAAAAATTAAATAGGCAGTATATCAGCAGGATCTTTCCTAAACAGAGTTCTGCTAATTTTTTTCATGAGAAGTTAATGTCTTTTAAAAATAGTACTAAAGATCTGATAAATTTACAAGAGTAATGAAATTCAAACTTAAAAACTGCAAATCGATCTTTAAATGACACTTTTGGCACCTCATAAGAGTACTTCGGTTCACAGTTACCTTTATTCTCTGGTATGAGACTTCCATAAGTACTATAGGCTTGGTGGAATCAGTATTTCACTGTTTCTTTCAACAATGTTAGTTAGCTGGTTCTCTCCTCTGCCTGGGTGAGTCTTTCACACAGTCACAGAAAAGGTGATTAAATTAAATTACTTTTTGGATTATGGGCCACATGTGGTGTATTAAACTACTTTAAGCTACTTTTTAGCTTCTTTGGCATTAGGATGTTTAATACATACTTGGTCCGCCTTAAGTGTTTTAAGTCATAAAAAATTAGAATGGAGTAGGAGAAAGATGTGAAATGGAGAAAGAGAAAAGAAGCAGAATGGAGATCTGAGACTGAAAACTTAGCTTTCCATCATGTAAGCAAAATAAGGTTTTTTAATTTGCCATGTAACAAACTAATTCTTCTAAACAGGGTCACTAATATGAAGAGAAGATTAGTTTATACAAATGGGGATTTAAAATTTATAAGTACAATTCAAACCAAGTGCTTTATTTATTTTTGGTCTGTCTGTTTTGGGGTAGCAATTCTAGGACAAATATTGCCTGTGTGTATACAGTTATGAATGCTTCCGAGCCAGTTTTAGAGGCGTATCATCCGACTGGAGATGAAAGGCACAAACTTAAGGAATCTCTGATTTCTTTTCCAGATACTTTCTACTGCGCACGAGTGTTTTGGTTTGGGCAGTATATCATCCATGTAGTAGATATTTTTAATCGAGATTTATATTAGTAGTGAAGACATGAACATTAAGAGTTCTTGAAAATCACAAGCAGAATATATTGTGTTTCCCACTTGCTTTCAAACATATGTGCTCAAGAAGAGAAGGGGAGAGACGAGTGGATTTCTTTTTTATTTTTCCTTCAGGCAAAAATCCCTTTCATGAGCAAGGAAGGAGGCAACAACGTTTTTACAACAGCGTGAAGTGCCTGTTGCTAGAAATGATTTTCACTTTGTTCCTGAAAAGTATGCCAAATTTACTGGAGAGCTAGCACGCTGATTTATTTATATAATATGATGTGAGTGGGAGAGGGGGTAATGCATTTTTGGCCCAGCTGATTTTGCTAAATTTGCTTTGATTTGCTGAAAAGGTTTACTGATTTATTTAACTAGATTTATCTGAAAGAATACAAGGGGCCTTTCCTTGCTCTCTGCATTCTTACTTCCCGAAGATGCAGCACAGAATAGCCATTATCCATTTACATGATACACCATTTGGTCAGATAAAATCCACTTTAGTTAAAAAGCCAGCTATTGCTTGTCACATATGTCTGTTTATCGACCACATTTTGACAACTGTTTACCTGAACTGATCTAAATAACAATGCGTAACTGCCGCGGTTCCTCCCTGTCCTGTGGTTACAGTGGTCAGGCAGCATGTCTGGTTCTCGAGCAGAGAGATACGAATATTGAGCCTTTATCTCAAGCAAATTAGAACAAGCTAATCATAGCTTCGCACCATGAACACGGTCCACAATGTGAGCCCTTAGAGAATTTCTCACTCAGCAGTCAGGAGTAAGGTTTGCTTATTTCACAAAGAGTTCCTAAAACATAATAAATATAGCAGAGAGAAAACAAATATTTTCGTAAATGGGATCACTCTGCTCTTTCCTGCTGCCTGAGGAACAGAATGTTTTAATGAAATAAATTATGATGTATACCAAACAATTTTACTCTTAACCAGCTGCCACCTTATTTCCTGCCATTTTTATCTATTCAGATGTGAGTGCTTTATCTTTCTTAAGAATATACATTTGGTAAAGGAGAATAATCAAAAATCCAGTGAATAATTTCTATGAATCAGTGGTGTTCTAAAAGAAAACCATCACTTGTAATGTAAAAGCAAGCCATCAAGAGACAGCACAAAGAGAGCAGTACTTTGAAATAACATCCAGATTATTTTCTTTCAGAGACGGTCGAGAAAAAGAAGGATCATTTCCTTCAGTTCAGTGGATAGGTAGACGGATAATCACCGGCAAGCATGAAACTCTGACCATAAAAAGGTGGCATTTAAATCCTTCTCTCATCTCATCATGTGCTTTATACTATTTAAAACTTACGGTAGCATCTAAAGGCCTCAACTGCATTGAGTAAGAGGTTATCTAGACACACTTAGGATCTTTAATTAAAAACATTAAATGTAGTGCTTTTATAGTTTCTCTACTATTTACAATTTAAAGTAAAAACAAAATAACATAAAAATAATTTGTCTGGACTTGTTAAGGAAAAGTGGAATGTGGCGACACAGAGTACTAAGTATAAAAAAGAGAAGATAATTTACACAGCAGTTTCCACCTTATACTATGTTAGGCTTCTTCATAAACAGTGAGCAGAACTCTGTCACCTTGTTATTTTGTGAACTATGCAATTTCACTCTGACTAGAACTAGCTAAATATTGCTGAAAGTTACCTGAGGATAATTTGTAAATATACATGCTTTGACAGTGTTTTCTTCCCTGTCACACTTCGTTTTTATGAACACGATAGAAAAAAAGACTACTGGCAAGAACCGTTTTGATAGTAGTCGTTTTAAACAACTACTAGGAGAATATTTGCTATGGATTTCAATATTCAGATTATAGTATAAGATGCTGTGACTGTAATATTTATTTACCTTGTTTTTTGGCTGAGAAAGTGTGTATATGCCTGAGAAAGAGTGCATAGGTGTATATATCCACATACACCTATACATACACAAGTTTACAACCACGCTCTTTGAAGTTCTGGATTTTTGGAGAAATGTACACTCTTGTCTTTGTTTTAGAAAAACCCTAGAGATAGCACAGCTGAAAGCACTGTGAAATCTTGCATTCTCGTCCTAGATGCTGCCAGAAAAAACAAGCCTTTTATGCTTGAGGAGGCTTGAGATGTTTTCTTGCCAGTTGCGAGTCCTACTTCTCAAAGTAAAAGAGAGCAAGTAATGTCTGTGAAGAAAGTTTTCCTGACAGACGGCATGCAGGCAGCTCTCCTGTGCTCTGCCAATCCATAAGTAATTAAAGTTCCTTTGTTGGCAAAGAGTCAGTTCTGAAACGAATAAGGAAAATTAAGACAGGTGATGCAGTGTCTATCCCCAAAGGAGAGAGTTTTGAGTGCAAAGTAAAACGAAGATGAAGAAGAAACTGGGTTATATGTCTCTGAATAAATGGTCTCCCATCAGAAAAAGATTAATTTTAAATCACTGTTCTCGTTCTTATATTAAAGATGGTTTAATTCACCCAGAGCTATTTGGCCTTGAAGATGAATTCCTACAATTAAGTGTTTATGACTGAAAGTGCTGCCATGGAAAGCAGAGAGATGAATATCACTTCAGGAGTACTGTGAACCATTAAATGAGTTGTAGAACCTTTTCCTGGGTATGAACCACTTTTAAATTTCAGACTAAGGCTATGATAGACTTCAGCATAAGGCCTGACATGTTGCTGTATTTAGGAGTTTGAATAACAGGGTAATCAACATGTACTGATGTGTTTATACAATTTTAAACTTCTTACAGTTAATTGAAAATATGCTGCCCATGGTATGTGTATATGCTGCTCGGATCAAATAAATTTTTCAGATTATAGTGTCAGGTAATGAACTTAACCTGCCTCTGATGTGTTGGCTTCTTTTGGCTGAAGATAGGCATGGCTGCTTTCCCCACTTCAGTATAAAGAGAGGCTGGCTGTGGAACATCATACAAACCTGAACAGATGACAAGGAAACAGCGCTAGCTGCCAACTACCTTCTCTTTCTTTATTTGTCGTGATTAGTGCTTGGTTTTTGTCAGGAAAGCTCAAGGCATCATCCTATAACTGACTGGCACGTTGGGAGGACGTAAACTGAAATACAGGCCAGGCAGACAGAGCGGCATTTTTGGGACTCAACAGAGGGAATAGAGACAGGGCTACTCATCCTGGTTAAGGAAAGAGCAGTGGTCCACAGCTCGCCTTTTCTTGGCACTGCCTGTCCATTCCCAGGACTGCTTGCCCCTCCTGTAAGCGGTTTTGCCAGGTATGTGGAAATTAAAGCTCGAACAGTAGTAGACAAAATTGGAGAGACTGCTGGCGGCAGTTACTGTCTACCCTTATACTGTACCTGCACCATCCTCCCCATGGCTCTGGTGAGTGCTGCCTGCAGCAGGGATGAGAAATTAACTCGCGCATCTCCTCCTGAACGACTTCAGCTTTCGGTCTGGTGTGTTGAGATCAACCCCAGTTTCAGCGTGGCTCAAAACTGCAGGCGTTCAGGAGCAGCTTCATGAGCTGTTTGGTCGTGAGGTGGCAAATTCTGTTACGGGGTGGGGTGAATGGTTGGGGATGAGAGTAGTAAATCCTTCAGCCGTGTGATTTTAATCCTTTGCCATATGTGACTTGAAGTCCTTAGATGCCCTCTACTGCCATATACCAGAATTAACAGATGGCTCTGTGTAACCAAATTCAGATTTGCTGAAGTTTGTTATTATCTCTGTCTTTGTAAATGAATGGGGGAGGGGAAATAATATCCATAATTATTACAAAATATGCAAAGGCTTTTATAAAGTGTGAGTTTGGGCTAGACATCTTTTCTGACTTTCAGTGCCATTGCCCTGTATTTCAAAATTTTAACACTATTTTTAGCATTCTCTTCAGAGCTCACTTCTCTGATAAATTATCCCTCTGGGAATAAATTTGATCCAGAAAGATGCCTGAGGCACAGCAGAATTTTTCCCCAGCATTTCAGGCCACATCGTGCTAGATGGAAGGAAGCAGCAAAACCTGCTGCTGTAGATCAGTCTCTGTTCTGGGAAGGAGCTAAGGGATGTGTTTAGCTGTCGGATGTGTTGTTTGCATAAGACAGAACAGCAGTCAAGGGTCTGTATCTAAAATGGAACAAGAATGAAACTTCTGTCCCGCGTTTGTCTGTGTTATGACAGTTTTTGTGTGCTGGCAGGCACAAAGCAATCCCAAGTCAAACAGAACTAATCCTGGAGGGAATCACTCTACAGGCTCTAAGAATCAAGTGTTTCTGCGGTGTTTGGGCTTTAGCTGTGTTGGTTGTGTCAACTCCTTTTCCCTTCTAGAAGGAAAACCCAGCAGAACAATCCCACCTTTAATTCCCCAGCCCAGGTTCCTAACGCTGATTTGACTGAGTGGGTTTGGTCCAAATGAAATTAGCAGCCACGTTTTGTGTACGTTCTTAAACATGCCTAACCTTTTCTGAGGACGGTCCGTTACTGTTCGTTTTATTCTGGGTGGTTGCCAGTGATGTTACGGATAGCAGGAGGGATGGCAGCAGGGAGCGTGAGCTGTCCAGTGGAGCACGCGACAGCGGGGTTCCTGCTCCAGGTAAGTGAGGGGGGACATGTACAGAGGACCTGCAGGGGGGCCTCTGCCAGGCTAATAAAAAGATAAAGCTTGGGTTCATCGAAGGGGTGAGCTTTCACATGATGCTTGCTTTTCCCTCCAGCACAGTCCTCCGCTTTCAGGCACACTGGTCTAGACTGTGCTACTTACATTTTTCAGGAGCTTTTGTAATTTTTCCAGAATATAATCTCAAACTAACAGAAGTCCATAGCAAAATCTTGTTATGAACGGGGGCTTTGTCTGTGAGACTATTTCTGAAAATGCCTGACTTTCTGTTAGCCATTGCATAAAAGGCTGAAACACAAATTTGTTCATGTGCTTTTGTTTTCAGCGTGTTCGTTTCTTCAAACCCCACCCCTTTCTCCAAGAAATACGTGAAGTTCTTCAAGTCCTCCTGGTGGGTGGGCTATATATTGTTATGGTGGCAAACCTGTGAAGCTGCACCAATTTATACCACCCGACAATGTGGTCCGTTGCATGTATTTTTACTAGATCCGTGTTTTTCCAATTTCTTCCTGTTCTTTCAATGGCATTTTTTTCCTATCCATCAGGGAGTGAAATCCTGCATCCAGAGAATGTAAGTAACAGCTGTTTCCACTCAATTTGCATTTATATACCTAACACTTCAAAAGAGATTATTTCTAGAAGCTTTCACTATCTAGTCAAAATTCCTACTTAGTCAGAGGTACTAGTGAGATGTTAATGAAATCCCTTTGGACTGGCTGACGGAAAAGATGCGGCAACAACGGAATTCCCCAAACGACTGATCAGTTGTGCTTCTGACAGTTACACTTCAACAATCAGTTGAAGCCTATCTTCTCATCTCCTTGGGCGTTTTCAGGATCAGTTCCATGGGCTCTTCTAAGGAGGGGGGAGTATGCCAGGTGAGGAGAGGAATTGTTAAAAAATCTGTGCTGAACTGGTAGTATATTTCTAGCAAAATTAATTTATCATGTAAGTATGGCTGTAAAGGAAAAAACAAAACAAAACAGCACCTGGCAAGCTATTTAAAGTGAACAGCTTATTTGCCAGCATCACAGATTTTTAAACAAACAGACCCCTTATGTCCCGAGAATAACTGAAAAACAGCTCTTTAATTTGTTTTTTTAATGCCACTATTTTCTTTTGTTGACATTTCACTAGCCCTGAAATGGAAACACAGCATTTTTATTTAGTAATGCCTAAATGAAGATTTTAAGAATTATGTCCAATTATCGGGTTTTTTCTCCAGAAAGCTTTGAAAGCCTTTCACCTCATTATTTTGCCAAATGCCTCAACTTGAACCGTTTCTTTAGATTTCCTCGAAGGCTGAGAATTACAGAACATTGAGGTTTAGTGACCTTTGGTACAGTTCATTTATTCCGATGTGGACTGTTGAAGAAGATGCTTGCTCCTAAATCCAGATTTTGTTTGAAGTTACAGAAATGCACTTTCTTCTCTGCATATTTAATGTTGTTTATCCAGAAGAAAAATCCTTTTATTTTTACAGGAGTCTCAACTGGGGCATCTCTGAACTGGATTGGACAATCTTGATGACTCAAGTTGTTTAGAGAACAGTAATGATGCATGTGAGTTGCTGTTTTTGCATGTCTCGATAAGCCTGTACCAGACTCACTCAGACTTAGTACTCTGAACAAAAGACAATCTGAGCTCAGGTTGTCTGTAAAAACGATGTGGGTCCCAACGACCTGATTTCAGAGGGCATGCTTGTATTTCTGAGTAAGGCAAGTCCCAGATGCCAAGAGGATTGGCTTATATTCACACTAGCTGGGGCTAGTTCCCTCCAGAGCAGACTCCTATATTCACACCCCGCAGTACTCCTTGGACTCTCTCTGGCGCCCCTATAGACCCAACATGTAGTTCTGATTTTTTGTGTATCTTTCAGTTTGAAGTATCTGAAATTACGTGAAACTGTACTGCAACCTGTGAGAATGGTGCTTTCCTAGCCTGAAAGTGAGGGTATGTATTACATGTTTTGGGATGCAGTAATGTTTGAGGGTGCACAATCGGCTCGAGCAGTTCAGAAGAGCACGTAGGGTAAAGTCAAAACAAGATACGATCTTGGGAAGCAGCGCTTGGTGTGAACTCTCCCTGCAGGGGCGTGCAGCCATTGCTTCAAAGAGGGCTAGGTGGAACGGGGGAAATAATGAAGAGGTGTGGGGATCAGCAGCCAGAGCTTGAGCTTGCTCCCCAGCCTGCAGCAGTAAGGACGTGCTCAGAGGGACCCCGAGTAGCAGTCTGCTGCTGGGGACCACCTCTGGCTGAGGTGAAGTGTAGACACAAGTATTTTGGCTGCAGGATAAACACTTCACTCTTAAAGAAGTACCGGGCTTCTCATGTATCATTTTCACGAAGTGATGAGTTAAAATCTTGGTCACATTGAAGCAAAACACTCACCCAGTTCCAGCGATTCAAGATTCTGCCCTCGGACTGGACAAAGACTGGCTAAGCACGGTGTAGGTACTAACCACAGCTGCTCTCCATCAGGACCACCACTGCTCTTTTCTTCACCAGCCATTGTGTTACCTTTTAGCCTTACCGGTGGTCTCTTTGCGCTCATTTCAAATCTTTTTCTTCAACAAATACGGCCATATAAAGGCAATGAATTATAACCCATGCAGCCAACATACAGCATGTTTATTTTAGTAGATTTGAACATACAAATACATGCTCTAGAAAGGGAATTTCTCTGCCGTTAAGACTTCTCTCTGCTTGTGGTGAACTTACCATGAATTTTGTTTGCACTATGCCTCTGCTCTAGATAGGAAATCCTCTTTCTTAATCCAGTTCCAAAATTTGTGGAATTCGCTGCCACCCTCAGTTTCCCCATCACTAATGCCAGGATTTTAGCTGTATGAAAAACAGCATGGGGGGAAAGGGAGTTTTATAAAGATAGGAGGTATTCTTGGAAAATAACAGGTGAACCCATACTTAAACCAGTCAGGATTAGAAATTACAAAATAATGAAATATGAAGAGGGATGCGAAGCCTTATGCTACTGTATACCAACCAATTGTTAACTAATTAGGGGTCAAGGAAAATTTTTTCCTGGCATTAGTTGATTATTCAGTTGAATCCTCAGTGTGTTTTAACTAAAGCAGAAGGTGAAGATCACTGCTGCAGCACAGCTCCGATACACTAACTCCTACAGATGTTGACTTCAGAAAAATGCTACTACCTTATTATTTGTTTAAACAAATACAACGTAAATTTGAATAATAAGACTGGCAGTATTTAAGAAACACTAATTTTTATGTGAAACTATAAAGCTCTGTTTTGTTAGCATTAGTCAGTAGGAAATATATGTTTGTATAGTAGCGTCATGCTTTAATAGTTTAATCTTTTACTTAGGTTAATTTTTATTCTCCATGATAACGGCTTAATGCAGTAGCCTAATTTAACAGTCACTTTTCACTGTTCATTTGAATTTTCTGTGATACTACATGGTTAAACTTTTATTAGTTTTGGCAGAAGGGATGCTAAAAAACAGATCTTCCAGAATTATTTTTCTATGATATCTCATATTTTAGATATCTCAAAACTGGCCTTATTTAAAATGGTAAACTGCCTCTGACCCAAGACTGTTTTTCTTCTTGACAAGCAGTAAAGCTGAATATAAGCACAACTGTTTTCTGTATTTATTACTTATTTGATTTTTCAGAAAGGCTAGCTGGCAAAGTTTCTCAGCTCTGTTGGCCACTCCAACCTCCTAGGTGATGAAAAGCTTTGCGATACATTGATTATCATTTCTCACCTACATCA